TTATGGGCTTCCTGGGGCGCACTACGCACTAGGATGGGTTGGACTGACTGTAGAGGCAATGGGTGGATCCTCTGACTGGGCAGTGGTGTCCGGGACCAAAGTAGGAGGCTCTGCCAGTTGTAGAGCCGGGTCTCGAACCTAGGAGCTGCTGTCTTCACCTGATAATGGCTATGTGGTTTTGGTGGTAGCCATCTCAACCATATCGGGAGTGTGCGATAGTTGTCTGCATATCCGCCTCCTCCTCAGCCAGTTCCTCTATAGAAATAGCAACCTGTTTGCCTCTGTTGTCCCTCTGATCATCACCCTCCTCAACTATCTGCTCCTCATTTGTCTCCTCACGAGACTCTCCAGATTCCTCATCTGAATGATTATCGGTGTGTGCAACGGAGCTCGGAGCTTGGGAGATGCCAGTACCACATGCCTCCTTAGCTGACATGAGGTTTGTGAAATCCAAATCAAGGCTTGGTACTTGGGAGGTGCCACTTCCATGCTCCCCCTCCATCGGAAGAAGGGTAGTCAGGTCAAACTCCAGTGTTTGCATCTTATGTAGCTCCGACTTGAGCTCAGCTACATCTTTTTTTAGTTGAGGCATGTCCCAGCTCCACCTCGCTCAACCATCTCAAGGCAAGCTTCAAAGAGCTTGAGGTGATCCTCATATGATAGATGTTGCTTTATAAGATCAATTACTGAGGTTTGGAGCAGGGCCAATGCTTGCGGGATGAGCGATGGAAGTTCTTTTGTTAGTTTGTCTACTTTGGCATTTGCATGTTGTGCCAGTAGACCAAGCTTGGAGAGTGCAGGTAGTAGGAAAGGTGGTGTCGCAGTGGCTGGTCTAGGAGTAGATGTGGAGGTAGCTGGCATTGAAGAAGTGTCTGGCACTGATGAGGCAGCAGGTGCTGCTGAAGCGGACGAGGCCGGAGAGAGTGGGTGATTGCTCTGGTTGATCTTCGACCATATTCTCTGAAGCATCATTGTGCCTAGTGATGTCAATATCTTGTACAGCTTTTACTATGCGGTCATATTTGGGGAACGGAGGAACCTCTGCATCTTCACACAAAGCATGGATTAAGCATGGAAATGGGAGCGAGGTTTCTTTTTAGTTTGCCTAGACCCCAATCTCAGGGATTATGAGCTGTCCTAAATCAATCCCAAAACCTAACATGATGGAAGCAATAAGGACCACCTTCTCTAGATTGATGTCGGTCTCATTTCTCGTTGGCATTATACGAGAACACACAAAACTTAGTCAATACCTACTTTCTTGGGTGAAATTCCTCTTGTGAATCTTCTGGCCTTCTACAATCCAGGGTGGAGTTCCCTTGGCTATGACAGAGGTTACCCAAGCATACTCAGATTCCTTATTTGAAATTTTTGCGTCATATTCTGCCATGTCCGATTCCTAAGATTCAAAATATGCATCATTGATTGATTGGGGATCGCAAGATATTGCAATTCCTCGGACTGTGACAGAGGTCGAGTATACACGGTTTCTCTTTTATTCTTTGGTCCTGTATGCGGCATATACAACATAAAACTCCCTAACAAATGTCTCATTGTACTCCCCCGGTACCTTAGGGAAGAACTCCCATCCCCCTTTTTGGATATTTTCTAGCACACAAGGGTAGTGTTCTTTAAGACCGTTTATACTTAGCTACTTTTCTTCGAGGATATTTATTTTTTCCAAGCCATCTTTGTACCTATTCCAAGAGCCGATGATCGGAAATCTGAGATCCTCACCACTCTTTCTGCGTACTTCGGCCTGGAGGTCAACTGGTGGCACAAGGTCAAGATGTGCCTCCTCCTCTTCAGACTGGGAGGTAGGCTCAGATGAATTCCTCGATGTGCCAGGCCGTTTGCGTTGGGATTGTTGTGATTGTGGGCTTCTAGCTGCAACCCATCTCTTTCCTTGGTAGGGCATTTGTAACATGTGGAAAAGAAATGAGATAATAAAAATGTTATACGGAATACTTATGCGACCGCAAAACAACTCTGCGAACCGCAAAGCACAATGCAAAATATGCCCTATCAGAAGAAAAAAGTTATGCGGGCCGCAAAAGTGGTCGCAGAACAAGTTTGCGACCACAGATCGATTGCATTTTAAACCTTGAAACTAGCTTGGCTCTGTTTATGTCTACGACCATTATGCGGTATGCAAACCAGTTATGCGGCCGCAGACTTAACCGCACAGTTATTTCTACAAACACCATAGAATACAAGCATGCAGGGATTCTGTGGACCGCAAATTAGTTATGCGGACCGTATAGATCATCTTCTCCACATAAAACTCACTCACAGGCAACAATATACAACACAAAGTAGCTAATGCACAAACCACTGGACCACATCAATTCTTCCTCCCAACATATATTCACAGTACAAGAAAATAGAAGATGGTGGAGAGAGAAGGGTATCATGGATGAGATGGAAGAATTTAGGCGAGTAAAGTCAAATAACAATCTCAAATCACCTGAGCAAGAGCAGGGTCGAAAAGTCACATACCAGACCGTGGGAAGATCGAGTAGGTCTCTTGGATGTAAATCTTGCGAGCAAGTTGACCTTTTCTCTTCTTCTTTTTTCTTCTGTGTTTTTCTTTGTGTTTTTTTTATGTGCGTGAAGTTAGAATAGATAGACAAAAATAAGAGAGAGAAGGAAACTAGGGTTTAATACCTGAGGGTTTTGCAGTGCAATTACCATCGTGTAACATATTATGTGGCCACATATGTGTTTTGCGATAGATTAGTACCCCAGTGGTGTGCAACAGGTGTGTGACCCACTTTGCGATCACAGAACCATTGTGCGGGCCGCATTAGTTTAATTTTCTCCGCATTTTGAAGGGACAATTTGCATGATTTTTTGTTGGTGCATGCAGCTAATTTGCTGTCCGCAAACTCATTCTGTGGCCACATATAATGCCGCATAACCACAGCTGAATCTCAGTATGCTTTCCTTCATTTTTCCTATGCCTTTGCATCCCATTTCCTTGTATTTTGAGTAACCTGCACTCTAAACACACACGTCAAATTATTCAACACTTGGAAATAAACCTACAAAAATAATAATCTAACAAAAAATGTTACCAACACATGGGTTGCCTCCCAAGAAGTGCTTGATTTAACGCCGTGGTACGATGATGTTGTCCCACTTTGGCTAATCAGTGGTGGGGGTTGGTACAGGACCATCCTTGAGTGCGAATTGTTCTACCAGTGCCTTTCTCCAATGTTTCCGAGGTAATGCTTCACCCTTTGGCCATTTACTTTGAAAGTTTGAGTCCCGTCTTCGGAATCTAATTTAATAGCGCCATAGGAAGAAATAAACACAACCTTGAATGAGCCAGACCATTTGGATTTGAGTTTTCCCGGAAAGAACTTCAATCTTGAGTTGAAGAGTAAGACCAATTCACCGGATTTGAATTCCCGCTTCAAAATCTTCTTGTCATGAACAAACTTCATTCATTCTTTATACATGGTTGCATTCTCATAGGCATGGAAACAGAACTCTTACATTTCGTTGAGTTGTGTCATCCTTAGATTAGCAGCTTCAGCCCAGTCAAGGTTTAACTTTTTCAACGCCCACATGGCTTTGTGTTCAAGCTCCACTGGCAAGTGACAAGTCTTACCAAAAACTAACCCGTAAGGTGAGGTACCAATGGGTGTCTTAAATACAGTTTGATAAGCCCACAATGCATCGTCTAACTTCTTTGACCAGTCGGTTCTATTTGCATTAACAGCTTTTGCTAGAATGTTTTGATCTCCCGGTTGGAGACTTCAACTTGACCACTTAACTGAGGATGATAAGGAGTGGCCACCTTGTGCTTAACTCTATATTTCTTGAGCAACCCGGCAAAAGCTTTATTGCAAAAATGAGAACCATCATCACTAAGGATAGTCCTTGGGGTTCCAAACAGAGTAAATGTGTTCTTCTTCAAGAAGGTGATTACACTCTTTGCCTCATTGTTTGGCAAGGAAATTGCCTCGACCCATTTGGAGATATAATCTACTACTACCAAGATATATATCATGCTGTAAAATATCATGAAGGGACCCATGAAATCTATCCCCCACACATCAAAGATCTTGACCTCCATCACAAAGTTCATAGGCATCTCATGCTTTCTAGAAATTGACCCTTGTCTTTGACATAGATCACATGCCTTGACCATTAGATTTGCATCTTGGTAGATCGGTGGCCAATAATAGCCATATTCAAGCACTGTTGCAGCAGTACGGTTTCCACCATGGTGACCCCCAACTGGGGAGTCATGACATGCTTTGAGAATTTGAGTCACCTCATCTTTCGTAACACAACACCGAATAATGTTGTTGGCTCAAATTTGGAACAAAAAGGGTTCCTCCCAATAGTATTGCCTACACTCCTTCAAGAACTTTTTCTTTTGATAAGCTTCTAATCCGTCGGGGATAAGGTCACTAACCAAGAAGTTAGCAATGTCGGCATACCAAGAAGTTGAGGTGCTAGATATTGCCAATAGGTCTTCATCTGGGAAGGCATCATTAATTTCAATATCTTCTTTTGGTCTCCCTGCTTCTTCAAGCCTAGATAAGTGATCCGTAACTTGATTCTTTGTTCCTTTCCGATCTTTGACTTCAAAGTCAAACTCTTGTAGAAAAATAACACACCTAATCAATCTTGGTTTAACATCCTTCTTGGCCATAAGGTAGCGGAGACTAGAATGATCGGTGTAGACTATCACTTTGGATCCCAACAAATAGGCCTCAAAGTTTTCAAAAGCATAGACAATGGCAAGCAGTTCTTGCTCTGGTACAGTGTAATTCATTTATACACTTTTGAGTGTCTTGCTTGCGTAGTAGACAGAATAGAGAATCTTGTTATGCCATTGACCAAGTATTACTCCAATAGCCACACCACTGGCGTCACACATGAGTTCAAATGGAAGAGACCAATCGGGTGTGACAATAATAGGTATCATGGTGAGACTTTCTTTCAATTCCTCAAAAGCTTTGAGGCACTCATCGAACTCAAATTTAGCATCCTTTTTCAAGGAGCTTGCACATTGGACTTACAAGTTTTGAGAAGTCCTTGATAAATCGCCGATAAAAACGGGCATGCCCCAAAAAGCTTCGAACACCTTTTACTGAAGTGGGAGTAGGAAACTTGGAAATTATCTCAATCTTTGCTCGATCAACCTCAATGCCTTGCTTGGAGATTTTGTGGCCAAGAACAATACCCTCGTCCACCTTGAAGTGACATTTTTTCCAAATTGAGCACAAGTTTGTTTCCTCACATATTTTGAGTACTTGCCTAAAATTATCAAGGCAATGCTCAAAGGAATCACCAACTAGAGAGAAGTCATCCATGAATACTTCTAAGAAATCATCCACCATGTCCTAGAAAATTGACATCATGCACCGTTGAAATGTAGCTGAGGCATTGCATAGCCCAAATGGAATTTGGCTAAAAGCAAAGGTCACATACAGACATGTGAATGTCGTCTTCTCTTGGTCCTCTAAGGCTATGTTGATTTGGTTATAGCCGGAGTAACTATCCAAGAAGCAATAAAATGACCTTCCCGCTAGCCGATCAAGAATTTGATCAATAAAAGGCATAGGGAAATGGTCTTTGCAAGTAGCACTATTGCGCTTCTGGTAGTCCATACAAACACTCCACCCGGTCACCGTCCTCGTTGGAATGAGTTCATTTTTATCATTTTGAATCACGGTCATGCCTTCTTTCTTCGTCATTAACCCGAAACTTAATCTCATTTTGTTCCGAGTCCATGAGTTCTCTCCCGGTAGGAAGGAATGGTATCCCTAAGATGATATGGATCTCTTTATTAACAGCACAATGGAGAATCACAAAGTCGGCGGGGAGGAGAAACTTCCCCACTTTCACAAGCACATCATCATTTATTCCCACCGGTCGCTTTATTAAATGGTCAGTCATTTGCAACCTCATACTTGTAGGCCTAGGCATTCCCAATCCCGCTTACTTGTAGATAGAAAAGGGAATTAAGTTGATGCTATCCCAATTATGACAAAGAGCTCGTGCAAAGTCCCGTAATCCAATAGTGCATGAAATGGTGAAAGCCCCCAGGTCCTCTTTCTTTTGGACGACGGTTATTGCAATGATAGAACTAACCCGGTGGATAACATTCACCACTTCATTCTTGGTGGTTTTCTTTTTAGTAATCAAGTCCTTCAAGTACTTAGCAAAACCCGACATCTCTTGAAATGCTTCCACAAATGGAATGTTCACCGATGATTGCTTTAGGATGTCATAAAACTTCTCGAGTTTGCTATCATCAACCCTTCTAGCTAGTCTTTGGGGGAAAGGAGGGGGAGGTCTTGGAATTGGTGCTAGAGGTTTTGGTGCCTCTATTACCTTTACCTTAACCTCTTCACGACTCACTTCTTAAGCTTTCACCTTCTTCGAGAGTCTTTCAACTTCAACAACACTTGGCACCTCAACTTCTTGTTCAGAATCTTCTACTTAGACCACTTGTTCATTCTCACCTTGAAGTAGTTTCCCACTTTGAGTTGTAATAGCCATACAATGAGAGGTTGGGCCACTCCCACTACCTTTTGGGTTTGCAATTGTATTACTTCGGAGCGTGCCTTTTTTCTTCGAATTTTGTTCTCTTGAGAAATTCCTCATTTACATCTCCAATATTTGAATAGATGCGGTGTGAGAACCCACAAGCTCGGTCATATTTTTAATTGAAGTGTCGTATTTCTCTTGATTTTGCAATACTCTTTCAAGCATGTTTTCCAACTTGGACTCACTTGAAGAACTCTCTTTCCAATGTGGAGAGTTAGAATATTGCCTCTTTGGTGGAACATAGGGGTTTGAACTCTGATTTGAAAAATTATTGTTGTTACTCCAATTTCCTTGATTTGAACTACCTCGGTCGTTTCGCCATTGTTGGTTGACTTGCCCTTGCGGGTTAGATCTTCATTGGTGTTGTTGTCCTGAACCATGGTAGGGTTGTCTCTGATATCCTCTTTGTGAATTGTTGACATAATTTGCTTCTTCGTATTCCTCATTTGACATTGGTTGCACATCTTCCACAACATTCACTTTCTTTGTTTGGCTTTCAGTGAACATTTTTGTCAACACATTGATATTGGTAGCAAGCCCGGCAATTACTTGATCTCTTTCTTGGTTCTCCTTAATCATGTTGGTCAAGGAAGGAGTACCATATGCAATTCCACATGTGGTGTCTTCCAAGTGCCAAGCTTGGTTATGTTCGGCCATCTTGTCGAGGATTTGTGTAACCCTTGTAAATATTTTATCCATGAATGATCCATCCGCCGTATTTTTGGCTATGGATTGATTCATAGGATCTAAGCCCATGTAGAACTTCTCCAACAAAATAGTATCCGAAAAATCATGATTCGGTGACCTCACCAAATATAGATTGAATCTAGCCCATGCGTCATGTAGGTTCTCTCTCGGTAATTGCTTGAAAAAGATAAATTTATCTCGAAGCTCAGATTTCTTGCTTTGTGGGAACCATTTTGCTAGGAAAGCTCGGACAAGTTAAGCCCAAGTGTGGATGGATTAGGAGGTAGATTTTGGATCCACTGTCTTGCCTCTTCGGTTAAAGAGTAATTGAACACCCTCAACCTTAGGGCATCATCCGAGACATGTTTCTGCTTGTGCATTGCACACACACCCAAAATGTTTCTGAGATATTGTGTCGGATCATCGTTGGTAGAATTTTGGAGGAACCCCTCTGCCTTTAACATTAGGGATTAGACTGTGTTCCACTTTGAAGGTAGCAACGTCAACTCTAGGAGGGACAATTATGTTTGTATCCTCAATATCCGCAAACACGTTCTCTTCTTCCGGCTCGCCCATGTTTACCTAATGACATCAAGCAAAGCAAGCAAAATGTGATGGAATAGAAGAAGACGTAAAGTAAAGCACACACTAGTTAGTAATTCAAAACCGTATTCCCTGGCAAGGGCGCCAAAATTTGATATGCTCAAATTATACCTATATAGATGGTGTAAGGCGGTCGATATCAAATATTATAACCCAACTAGGTTGGGGTCGAATCCCACAAGGAATAGGTGTGAAAAGGTTACTTGAGTAGTGTGTAACTTGACTTAATCCGTAGTTCCACTCCGTTAGTTTAAAATGAGATTTGTAATTGTGAATTGGAGGAAAGCTATTGTGTTAAGAGAATTTGATTAATTTGATTAAGAAACCAAGGTTGTGTCCCCATCAATGAAATATAATGCTACCGGTATTAATATGATATATTTCTAATGGAAGGTCCTATGATATGCAAATGGTTCCTAAATGACTACCTAATATTTTTCAATAATTAGGAAGTATTTCCTCTTTATGATTTTCCCAAATATAAAAGAGTTACAATCAAGAACAACCAATTTATGCCAAGTAGAACCCACTTACCCTAAGTGATTCTGTTAAACAAGGTTTAAGGCCTTGAGNTATATATATATATATTAAATGGTAAATACCCATTAATATTACACCCACCTAGGATCCACAACCTTAGTATTTAAAGTTTGCTACTCATACTAGAATACAAAGACAAAGTAATAAATAAAGTCATAAAGCATACAAAGAGGAAAAAGTCTTGGATTCTCTCTTCAAAAGCTTCCAAAATAATTGTGTATTCAATGCTCCAAGTGTAGCCTCTTTCCAGACAAGTTCGTCTACAAAAATCCTAGTCATTCTATTTATAATGGTCCAAAAGTTGGGGACAAAAAGTGACAAAAATGACTCTGCAGATAAAGTATGAGACCGCAGAATGGGCCGCAGAAAGAATTCGTGGTCCGCACATCTTCCTTTTCACCGCAGATCTGATCACAGAGTTTTCTAGTTTTTCATCGCATTTTGGTTATGCGGTCCGCCTAAGGCTGGCAAGTGGGCCGGTCCAAGCCCGGGACCACGGGCCAAACGGCTAAACAGGCCAGGATCGTGTGGCCCGATTTTAGCGGGCCTGGTCCGGTCTCGT